TTGTAGGCTTCATTTTTGTTGCATTTAATTAGTTGGCCATTGGGCATTTCAATTCCCTCACATACAGTGATTTTGCCTCTTTTTATGGATACAGTGGCGCATTTTTCCATGCCAAACTGCATTGAAATATCGGTGCTGAATACTCGGACTGTGTTTGTCAATGATTGGATTTCTATTTCTGACTTTCCATAGAGTTTCAAATCATCCATATATAGTAAATGCGAAATTTTTTCAGCTTCTTTGGCTGTTTGGTAGCCTAATTTCATTTTTTTTTTAAGATTACTGATAGTGGGATCATTGCGATGATGAAGAGAAGAGGTGAAAGTGAATCACCCTGGAAAATTCCTCGCTTGATATTAACCATTCCGTAGATCTCATTCCCTGATCTTTTTTTATTATTATTATTATTATTATTATTATTATTATTATTATTATTATTATTATTATTATCATCATCATTATTATTAAACAAATTAGTTGCCCATCTATCAAACAAACTGGTGAACAAAGAAAAGAAAAAGAAAAACCTAATTCACTAAAAACTAAAAGAAAACTTATAAACAAATCAGAATAACAATCAGTCAAACACATCCAGACCCATGTCAGGGCCCTATTAACATACTGGCCCCAAAGCATGAAGGAATAATCAGATCTTCATGGCCTTCTGAAAAGCCAAAATGGCAAGGGCTGTCTGTATCTCAGGGATAGACTATTCCACAAGACAAATGTCATGACAGATAAGGCATTATTTTTAGGGCCAATAGAGCCAAGGGCACACTCACTCTATCTAATCTGGTGTGACATTCAGAAACCATTGGTGAAAGGTGACCTACCCCACAAGTAATCCTGTTTGTAGGGCTTTAAAAATAAGAAACGGTACCTTGGATTTCATTTTAGAACCTACCAAGACCCAGTTCAATTCACATAACTGTGATATCATGTGGGCATACAGTAAAGCAAGAGTGAGGAACTATGGTCCTTTTATTAATGGTGGACTTCAATTCCCAGAATTCCTGACCCATCCATACTTGCTCAGGAATTCTGAGGGCTGAAGTCTACAAGTCATAAAGGGAGTATAGTTCCCCACCTCTACAGTAAAGCATCCAATAGTGCACATGATATTATATTCTGGATCAAATAAAGCTTCTAAATGCCCTGCTAAGCAGGCACATTGCACATTAGCAATAGTTTGGTCAGGAAGTGAGGCATGAGTAGTAGTAAGCAGTTCCTCCTGATACTGGAATGAGTGCAACTATTGTACAAGATTTAATTGTGCAAAGGTCTTCATGGGTACAGTACCTACCATCTGCTTCTTGAGCAGGAGCCATGAGTACAAAAGGACTTCAATACTACACAATAATAGTACCTGGGAGAGAGTTCCTCCATCCAGAGTTAATACTTACTAGATTCAGGGGGTGTAAGAGACGGTGCCTATGGAAGGGGAGCTGGGGTGGCAGACTATAGTGAAAAGGCAGATTCCCAGGAAGGAAGAAGCAAATTCCAGAAAAGAGAAGGAATACAAGGCAGCAGAGCCCAGATTGGATAGGAGACAGAGGAAAAGAGCAAGAATAGCCATTCCCTAGAATCTCCCAGAGTATATTTCTTAGGCTGGGAATAATACGGGTTCATCCTGGCAAGATTCTATCTGCTATGGGTAAACAAATAAAGAACTGAATTCTGAATGAATTGTTACATGTTGTTCTTGGGTCTAGCCTGGTGGGGGACCCTAAAACCTGGAACTATGAGTCTTTTCAGAGCTAAGCCCTACCCAGACCCACATAGCCTCCGAGCACTGAAAAAATACCTTGATGGCATCACTAGGAAAGCCTCGGGGAGAAACCTAAATATCATCAGTATAGTGGGGATATTTAAAGCCATCCTGCCAGATGACCTTCTCCAGTAGTTTTATTTAGATGTTAAAGAGGATCAGAAAAAAAGGGGTGAACCCTGGGGCTAGAGCTAGACTCACATCAATACTGCCTGGACCTGACCCCAGAAAGAAAAGAAGAATTATTGTTTTAAAATACATTTTATTTATTTCATTTTCATTTTCATTTTATACAATCACTTATATACTGTGCATAAAAAAA